CCGACCCACGCGCTTGCTGCCCTGCACTGGGGGGAACCTGGTGTCCCCCCCCAAGGCCACAGCTCGAGGGGTGGCTTTGGGGAACTGAGTTCCTTTTTGCTATTTTGGTTTCTTTAATTACGTTTCCGTTTTGGACGGTTTCGTAATTGATCTCTACGTGCCTGGGAATGACAGTAGGTACAGTCTGCGAGTTAAATAAATTAAAAACAAAAGAAAAAAAAAAAAGAGACAACCCAAAACAAAACACGAGAAGCGGTAAACCGCCTAGAGAGAAAAGAAACCAGACCCAAGATTTAGAGATAAAAAGGCAGCGGAGTGGAACCTACGCTTCTCCCCATCGTACGCAGCAAGGCGTCCCGTCACCGACACGCAGCGCACGGCGAGACGCGGCTCCGGGCTGCTCCGGGACCAAGGCGGAGCCTGAGCCTGCTGCTCCGGGAACTCGGCAGGAGTTGCCGACTCTCTCGTTCACTCACCTTGAGGTATTTTTCCAGCATCTTTACGATGTGTTTGTTATTCAGGACGCTCTTGGCGACGTGTAAGCTGGTTTTCTTGAACTGCTCCGCGGCCATCTGAAAAGGAACCGGACATGGGGGTCGGTTCAAAAGGGGAAGAGTTCGAACGAGGAGCTCGGCTCGAGAGTTTGGATTCCTGCCTCCTCCGCAGGCCTTGGGAAACCTCATCTCAGACCCCAAAAAACATCACAAAAAGCAGATGCAAGGGAGCACCCACATCTCTTCCACTAACAGGAGCCCTGGAGAAAAACGTGCTCCGGCACCAGCAGCTGGGACAGCCCCAGCTGTCCCGAGATCGAGCCCAGGACGGCGGCGTTCACGTCAAACACTCCAAGACGGACGAGACGCAGACCGGCCCGAGGGACGCGCGGCGCTGCCCGCCGCTCACCCCGTCTCCATCCGCCCTGTCCAAAGCCCCTCTCCAGCCTGGGCCAATTTAGACATCGATTACGTCTCATTTACCAATTCCCCAAGTGCCCTCAAAGGCCGTTTTTATTTTTAATTTCTAGCAGGCGCTGCAAATTTAGAAAGAGGAAGCGTTTAGTCTGCATGTTTACGCAGTGTGCCTGGACAATGTAGCCTGCTAAACCCCTAGCACAAAAGAAAAGGCCTTTTTCTCCCTTTTAATATCGCTTTTTGCTGTTCATCTCCCCACTTCTCATCCGCTCGTGGGGCCCTGCAGAAGAACGAACCCTGCAGAGCCCATCCGCAAGCATCCCACGACCCCTTCCAGTTCCCCGGTCAGCGGCTTCATCTCGTGGCGCGACCCGGGAGCGTCCGAAAAGGTTTTTTTAGAAGCCGCAAATAAACCTTGAGCGGACACATCCCCTCGCCCCCGACGGAGACAAAACGCTGCCGCGTGGAAGCGAGCGGGCTTGCTTACCCTGCGGTTTCTGTTGTGATCGGCAGACCGCAGGTGCCTCTGGAGAAGGTGGTTCTGCGCAGGAATTAACATGTCGCACGCCATGCAGTGAGCCGCCTCGATCTTCTTGAAGAAGTGCTCCTGCCCAATACCTGCGGCGACGACGAGACGTCAGCCAAAACGCCAAAGGAACGAGACGTTCGGCCGGCTAACGTCGCGGGCGCCTCTCTAACCCCTTTAACGGCCCCGCGTCACAACCCACGGGCTAATTCAGTGCCCGGTGTTCCTTCCGGCTTCTGCTTTCAGAGACCAAAAAAAATGCTCTACGATGGGGAGGAGAGTTATTCTGCTCTAAAACAGATCGTAGCGATGCAGTACCCAAGCATAGGAAGAAGAGATGGGGATTGCAGCCCGGGGTACAAAGCCATCGACTTACTGTTCCTCAGTCCTAGCCGAAACCAGACTGCCTGCCCCAAAATCTATTTAAATACAGGCGGAAGGGACAACGTGCGCTTCCCCCAGCTCTGGGCTCGTTCCTCCTCTCTACTTCGGCTCAGGTTTTCTGCCTGCA